GATAATCCTATAAAGTGTATTGATTATTTAAACACTCTGATTTCTAAATTTCAAATAAATAGTCCTTAATTTCAAGTATGCAATTGACAATTATAAACTGATAGTCCTTAATTTCTCATAATCTATTGCACTAATAATTATAAAATGATAATCCTCAATTTCTCATAATCTATTAAGGTATTACCTGATTAGCAGGACAACAAGACTCAAAAATTGATAATCAACCCTTGTTGAAGCCTAAATGCTGAGTCACTGTTGCTAAGTTGTTGTCATTGATTGTTTTTTTTTTTTGAACGACTAGCTTCTGTTGACTGCATCGAATGTCAATGATGCCTTGTGCCTTCTCCCATACGTAATGATTGTTGACTACTTTACATGTGGACTGGGCTAAAACTATACATACTATTAAAAAAAAATTAGACCCCTTAAATTATTAAAAAAAAAAAACTTAAACCTCTTAAAATTATGGGCCCTATTCCAATGCCCACTTTGCTCTTTCTCTAAACCGGGATAGTCTAGCAACACGTATTTTGGGGGTGGACTACTTTCTAAAATAAACTCACCAAAAAATATGATTAATGTACCATGGAAGCACATCCTCCCAATAGCAACACCACATAACTCATGACTTCCATTTAGACATTGTACTTTCAACTATGGCCAACGTTGTCAGGTACTAGAACATATGTAAAAGCATACAAAAACTTCAACATGAAAATCTTACAAACCATCTCATGGGATGCCTCCATTAAATGGTGCTTGTTTAACAATGAAACACCCTATCATCTTTGATATACATGTCCTAGATTACACTCTTAATGGTGCTTGTTTAACGATAAAATACCATCTCATCATACTATATATGTCCTACATTACGCATTAAGGCTATGTATTTCCACCATACCAACATGTATATTTTCTCCACATTCCTTCACTTGCAAAAACATATGATATGGAAGTCCATGTTATTTTTTCTCTTAAATACAATGTAATAAAAAAGGCATGAAATCGAAAAGAAAAAAAAAACTTGGAAACCTATGTAGGCAAATGTGGTTTTTTTTAAACGACAAACTAACTAACTTACTCCTAAATAACTATCTATGTCTCCACCGAGATTTGAACCCATGACCTCTCCTATGAGAGGATCACTTCTTACCGCTAGACCATTGGCCATTTGGTAGGCAAATGTGGTTGATTAAAAAAATCACTGGTTGATGATTTAATTTGAAGAAATTAGTTAATGGTGGTTAAGTCAGAAAAATAATTTTATTTGTCTAAAAAAAATAAAATTTTAAAACTTTTAGTGCAATTTTCCTTTTTGTTCATTATAATTTTTAAACACAACATATCAGATAGAACTCTTAAATATAATTTTTACACAAAATATCGGCTAGAATTATTTTATTTGATTAATTCTTCTGAATATTTAACAATATGGTTTTTTATTTTGTATGTCAATTAAAAATTAAAGAAAAGGGTATGGCAATCTCGTGAGTGATAGAGTAGTAACTTTTTGTTTGAGTCCGGAATGCTGATATTCCAACATACGATATCAATAAAATAACCAATAAGATGTGACTTCTGAGGTTACTATCGGTATTCCACAACAAGATATTTCAATCTCTTTTAGTAAACCATATGTTATTTGCCACAAAAAATAAAACTGATAGTTATATTTTCGTTCTTTTTCTATCATATATGTAAAATAACAAACTTATGGGTTCTATATTAAATTAAACAGCATGACATAAATCATCAAATGATTTATGTGCATACATTAGCAAAACTCGTCCTCCTCTTGTCTCACGATTAACTTTTAAAGTTAATTGATGTCTTCTACTCAATATATATATATATATATATATATATATATATATATATATATATATATATATATATATATATATATATATATATATATATATATATATAAAGGTAGGTTCCGTTGAGATTAAAAATAAAATATAGATCTCGAGATTCAACCTCAGCCATGTATTTCACATCTGCCACTCTAACCCTTCGGCGTACCGGTACGGCAGGTCTGGTGTAATCATAAATGATTACACAGTGCCATCCGTTTCTTTCTCCTCCGCCACCATCCCCACCACCGTAACCGCCACCGCCACCACCACTACCACCACTTCTGACACCAGTCGACCCCACCATTGTCACCTCCATTACTTATACCACCGTCACCTCTGTCACCACCACCTCTTCTGCGACTAACTGTAATAATCATTTATGATTACTCAATCTGTAAACAGACATATATGTATAATCATTTATGATTATGCATATACGTATAAACATGTATAATCCTGTATGATTATACCTCTTTGCTATATAATCATTTATGATTAAGCATATATCGTTGCTGCTGGTACGCTGGAGCATTAGAGCAGCAAATGCGAAATATGTGGCTGATGTTTAATCTAAGGACGTTTAGGCTTTACTAATAAGATAGAAGATCTCTACTTTTTTTTTTCTCAAGTGAACCGTCCCATATATATATATATATATATATATATATATATATATATATATATATATATATATATATATATATATATATATATATATATATAATGATTTTTTTGCTCCACACATTTTTTATATATTATTTATGTAAATTTCATATTTAAGTATATCTTAATAAAGACAAAATAAGATCATTTCTAGAACAAATCAAAATCAAAATGTCGGCCAATGAATAAATCTACAAAGACAGTTTACAGAATGGACCATTGAAATATTAAGAATAGGTAAAGAAAGTTTAAGAAATTGTTATGCGATGTTATATCTATTTTTTGTAATTTAACAGTTATTATATTTTAACATCAACGTTAATATTAAGAGATAGGGCTTGTTTGGTAAAAGTAATTGTTAGCTGGAAACCGTTAGCGAGTAGTTAGTAACGGACAGTGGGTAGTGGGTAGATGGTTGTAGGAAGTTGTAGTTTTTCTTTGTTAAATGAGTGTTTAACAAAAGTAATTGGAAGCTTTTGAAATATATAAAATTACATAAAAAAACAATTGATTAAAAATAAATAAATATACAAATATATCTTTAAGGGTGGTTATGAAAATTGATTTTAAAAACTTAGTAACGTTTTGTTAAACGCTGCATAAAGTAGTTTTTAGATTTGGAACGTTTTGTTTAAACTAAAAGTCAAACGGTCGTACTGCCAAATAAAATTTTTTGTTTAAACTAAAACGTTTTGTCAAAAACTAAAAAGTAAAAGTTCTCAACGCTTTCAAAAGTTCCGTGTCAAACATGGCCATAATATCAAGCCATGATTTCTCTCTCATATTATTTTATCTATATGGTGTATGAATATCAGGGACGTCGAGCAAATGGTATTGCAACATATTGAAAATCCTTAACAATTATCGATCTTAATATTGAAATGTGGTTAATTTGTTTAAGTAAATGTTTAAAGTGGATTTCATAAATATAGGGGTTTAACAAAAAAAAATATCAAAAAAAAAACTTTTATGTAATTCACCTTTTATTTTTATAACAATATTAAACATGTACTTTAGATTTATTACTTTTTATTCTAACTTTTCATATCATAGTATACTATTAAGCTTATTTTTTATTTTTTATTTATTTATTTATTTATTTATTTTTTTAATGTGAGACGTGCTCTTAAAAATAATAAATTAGATGAGAGCTTTATAATACGTTCTACATATATATGCATACATTATTTAGATTTTTTTAAATGATCGGAGAAGATTCATGATAATAGATTTTCTATAATAAATTATACAAAATATAATGTTTTAAAGTAAATAAAAGATTAATGATTCTAAAGTATCTTTGAATGGTTAGGTTCAATACAGAAAAAAATATAATAATAATAATAATAATAATAATAATAATAATAATAACTAGTAAAGAGGCTACGGCTACGTTGTTTTTGGAGTAATCTGAGAAAAATCGACAAACTTTAAAAGATATATGCTGAAATTGTAAATCATCACAAATAGAAGAGAAAGTCGAAAACCCTTAAAATTAAATTTCAAAAGTGTATAACCAAAATAATGGATTATCTTGGCGAAAATTAAAAAATGTTGTGGCAATAAAGTTAAAATTACCAAAGTTGGGAAAATATGGTGACAAAATTCAAAAGAAGGTTTTTTTAATGTCAAAATAATGGACACTATTGCTAAGAATCATTTCCATTATATATATATATATATATATATATATATATATATATATATATATATATATATATATATATATATATATATAGGAGTAGATCAAACGAGAACACCAAAAAGGTTGAGAACGCGAGAACAGATCACAACCTTGTAAATAATTAGATCTATGGCTATTATTAACTAGACCATTTATGAACATTTATTAAACTGATGTGCTAAATATGTAACTTTGAAATGGCAAGAAGGGTACAATAGGAAATCCATATAATTTATTTAAATAAAAATTCCTATAATCTCTCTCCCTCTCTCTCTCTCTCTCTCTCTCTCTCTATCCCTCTCTTTACTTAACTAGAAAACCCGAATCTAATTATTTTGAAAAAAACGGCCGCACACCCCCACCCTCTCCATCTTCGATTCTGCCAAAAATCGTTTTCCTCTGTACCTTCTTAAGTCACGATCGATACTTCCCTTCCCAGAGGCTTCCGATCTTTGCATCCAATCGTTGATTGCAGTTGGTGTTTCCCCTGTTATCGCATATACACACACACAAGTTGTAGCTTCCTTCCGTATCTAGCTTCATTCTGATCGTAGCACAATTCCTTCTTCCCCCTATTGTCGCACACTCACATCATCGAATCAGGTACTATCGACTTCAATATATACCTATTTTCCATCTTTTTAATTTCGTTTTTAAGGTTTTTAGTTTCAATTGTTCAAATTCTTCTTACAATCCGCTTTGTTATGTTGGAAGATCCCGTAAAAGCTTACAACTCCGCTTTCTCCACAACTAACAACGAACTCCACGACAATTGAGACATCGACGATTCCATGAGTGGTACAACTGCGATTATTGTCCTTGTCATAACTGATAAGCTTTACGTGGCTAATGCCGGCAATTCAAGAGCTCTGATCTCCGTTAAACCTGACCATCAAGGTTTTGTAACTCAACACACTCATAATCATCCATTCTTTGTTCTTGCAAGTGACGACATATTTGAGTTCTTATCTAGCCAAACTGTTGTTGGTATGGTAATTAAGTACCAAGGAAATCATATATTGTTATTCTGATTGTTTCTTTTTTGGCTGCTTGTTTACATATTTAGTTGCAATTGGTGTCACAAGCTGTTCTTCTTGCTAATCTGATAATTGTTGGACCCGATGTACTTTTCTTTTACACTCAGTAACTTGTTACAAGTCACATACCCTTTATGTTTTAGTTGTAATCTTATATGAATACAATGTCAGATGTCTCATTTGCAGTTAATCATCAATGAATACTCCATAAGGCTGGTTCAATAAGATCAAGGAAAGCAGCCATGGCAATGCAGGTGAGGGGAAAAAGCCAAGAGGCGGTTGCCCCTTTTGATTTCACCGGAAACACAACCCCATCCTGGTGGTTATTCTTGGCAAGGAACAAAGAATAAGAAATAATAATTTTTACACTATTTTTATTTTGTATTTATTTATGAATAGACTGTATTCATTTGTGAATATCAGTGTATTCATGTGTGAATGACTATTTAATTATACATAATTGTTTCTTTAACATTTTTGTAAATCCAATGAATAAACATGCATATAGTGAGAGGTGGGAGATTTACCAAATGAAATACCGACACCAATAGATTTTAGAAGGAGCGCAAAGATGTTTTATTCATTTATGACTGTAATTGTAGTACTAGGTTCCGTATCAAAAAAAATATATTGTAACTTATTCATTTACTATTATAATTATATTCTTTTATGAATACAAATGTGTTTTATTTATTTATATATGAATATCATTTTAGCTTATTGTATAATCTTTTTTTTTGGGTTTTATTCATTTATGTTTTTACAAGTGTATTCATAAATACATCTGAGTTAATTCATTTATAATTTACAATTTTAATCATTTTAAAATGAAATGTATAAATCATTATTTATGAAGATATATATTTTTTTAAATAAATGAGGTAAACCGATAAATTATTCATTCTCTTGATATTTGATTTGCTAAAAACGAAACATAAAAATGAAAAATGAAATGAAAAAAAAAACGTTTTTTTAGATAAAAATTAAATCATTATTTTATTAATTATTGGTTTATTAAAAGAATAAGATCTAAAAAATGAGATATTTTGGGTAATTGTCATCATAATCACTAAAATTTAGGAAATTATAATTTAATTAGATGGTAAAATTCCATTTATGCCCTTTAAAAATGATTGGTTTACAACTGTTCTCGCGTTCTCAATCTTTTAGGTGTTCTCATTTGATCCTCTCTCTCTCTCTCTCTATATATATATATATATATATATATATATATAATAATAATAATAATAATAATAATAATAATAATAGTAATAATAATGAACCAAGAATATGAAAAAAAAAATTGTTGGATGCAAAATACCTACAAATAAACAATGAATGTATATTTGTTTGTTGGACATTTATGTACCGCTCGAGAAAAAAAACACTTTTGTTTTTGTTTTTAAGGTTTATTTTTCATAGAATCGAAATAAATAAATATTTGAAATTTTATAATTTTTATAATAATACAAATCCTTTTAGTTTTAACTCATTCGTATTTACATTAATCTGAATTCAATTCTTTTAAAGTTTGATTCATTTAGATTTATATTGTAAATTTGAACTTTATATTTTATTTAATTTCACTTCGTTTAGATGGATATTGTAAATTGGAATTGTATCTTGTTTTACACTTATTAACTCACATAAAAATTGAACATTTTGTATCCATTTTTTTAATAATTTTTGTGTGATCAAAATGTTGAAATAGTAAAAGAAATCGAATGAATTTACATAGATTGCACACGTATCTAGCTAGATTCACATGTAAATATGAATATTTATTCGAATTTAAATGTAATTCGATTTCATCATTCACATGTGAATGACAATCATATCAACAAATAAATTGATAGATATTATGTCAATTCTTATATATGATGCGTATTCATATTGAATATTAACTATAAAATAATGAATATTTATAAGTAATTAGTGAATATAAATAGTTTATTAACAAAATGAGTATAATCATCCATATCTGAATTATCTTTTATAAAAAATATTACAGTTTATATTGCTATTAATGATAAAAACTGAAACTTTGAATAAAAAAAAGACTAAACTGCACAAATGGTTCCTGTGGTATGTCGAAAATTGCCACTTTGATCCAAAAAAGTTTGGACTTGCACCAGAAGTCCAAAGTTTTCATTTTGTTGCTTGTTTGGTCCAACCTGTTTTGATTTTTTTCAAAATGGCATATTTAGCCCTGTTGATATGATTTCTCTTTTTTTCTTATTTTTTTTTTTTTTCTGAATTTCATGTTTAAAAAAACAAGAAAATAAAATTAAAAATAAATCTCTCTCTCTCCCTCTCTCTCTCTCTCTCTCTCTCTCTCTCTCTCTCTCTCTCTCTCTCTCTCTCTCTCCTATTTATAATATTACAATAACTAAAAAAGAAAATCAACCCCACCTGCACTTCCCCTTCTCATACCTCTCTCTCCATCCTTTCTGAACTTTCACAAAAAGAAACTAACACCGCCTCCATCACCAACTTTCAGCGATTCGAGGTTCCGACCACCACAAATTTATTGTCAGTCGGAGTAACACCACCTATCTATTTCTTTATTTCTCTCAGCAGAATCGTAACTCAATGAAGATAGTAATCCAAAGAATATATGGCGTGGCCGGAGAAAGAATGGAGATACAGAAGGAGGAGGCGATGTATTAAAGAAGACAAAGGGCGTAGAAGATGTGAAAACTTATATCAACGTCGAAGGTGGCTTCAACCTTCAGCAGGCCCGATTTGAAAACCTAGATAAATGTCGTCATCTTCACACCTCGACGAAGGCTTTGTCTGGAAACTCGAGCCACAAGCGTCGCCTCCGTTTCTGTCTTCTTCTCCGGCGAGTATTGTCTATCTCAGATCCTTTTTCTTCGAAGAAAGCCTCTGTCGCCGTCGTTCGTCTTCGCCGAAAACCCTAATCCATATGAGATAAGGTGGCGACGCTAGGGTTTCGGAAGTTGGTGATGGTTTTTGTCGAAAATGGGGGGTAAGGAGATGGTTTTCAATGGAGAAGACGAACCATGAAAGTGAGAAGATGGTCTCCAGTGGTGGGAATCGGTTATGGTTTTTTGTAGGTAATGTTGGCTTTCAGATCTATCGAAGGTTGGTGGTGGCGGAGACGATAGGGGATGAAGGCAGCGGTGGCTAACGGCGACGACGGTGGTGGAGTCGACAATCAAGGGTACTTGACGACCATGAAGAACAAACAAAGAGGGAAGGAGAAATAATGGGGGAGAGAAAGAGATATATAGAGAGAGAGAGATATATATTTTTATTTTTATTTTCTTGTTTTTTTAAATCTGAAATTCAAAAAAAAAACAAATAAGAAAAAAGAGAAATCAAATTAACAGGGGTAAATATGTCATTTTGAAAAAAATTAGAATAGGTTGGACCAAACAAGCAACAAAATGAAAACTTAGGACTTATGGTGCAAGTCCAAACTTTTTTGGACCAAAGTGGCAATTTTCGACATACCACAGGGACCATTTGTGCAGTTTAGTCTAAAAAAAATATATACTGAAACTTTGAATAAAAAAAAGTATATATATACTTTTTTTTATTCAAAGTTTCAGTTTTTATCATTAATATATATATATATATTCAAAGTTTCCGTTTTTATCATTAATGGCAATATAAACCGTAATTTGTTTTATAAAGTATATATTTTTATCATTAACGGCAATATAAACTGTAATATTTTTTATAAAGTATATATTCAAAGTTTTAATTTTTATCATTAATGACAATATAAAAAAAGTATATATTTTTTTTTATTATATATATATATATATATATATATATATATATATATATATATATATATATATATATATATTAAAAATGGTTTCCACTTACATGCACTACTATTTATTTGGTTTTGTTAACCCAAATCATTTACAATTTTTTCACTGTATAATACAATATTCCAAATAAAAATCACTTTGAAAATATAGATTTTGCTTTTGATCATAACAGATTTTCATATTTGAACCTTTTTTTGTCTCAAAATATTTTGATCTAATAGTTTTTATTTTTTATAATTTTAAATTTAAATTATTGATATTTTATAAGTTTTGATTATGTTACGTTTTTGTTGTTTTACATAATTATTTTTTATAATTTTCATTTTTTTTAATATTACTTATTATTATTATAATTTATCAATTAATTTTGATTCATTAACAATATCTAGTGTTTCTAATTTATTTAAATGTTATAAACTTTTAGGATACTTATTGTGTTATTAATACACAAAACTTATACTTTCTTATAGTCAATATCATTTAATATGTTTGTATAGTTAATTTTGATTAATTTACATCATCATATATTCCTAATTTATATAGACTTAATAACTTTTTTTGTATTTATTATAGTTTTAACTTAGAGATTTTATATGTTTTTACTGATATGTTTATACTAAATAACAAATAACGATGTTATTATTTAAAAAAAACAAATTAACCTACTACTAAATAATATTTATATGTATTTTAACGATACTTGAACAAATTACATTTTATTTTAGAAAATCACTCTTTATGCTGCATTATTGACCATTTGGTAAATAACTATGTTATTATTGATTTTCTTATTTAAACTTTTGTATTTCTATGATGTTGCATAAAATAAATACATTTTTAAACTTTATTTTGATATTTTTGGTTCACTTGATGTAATGTAATTGTTACCATTCTATATATATATATATATATATATATATATATATATATATATATATATATATATATATATATATATATATATATATATATAAACCGTTAGCATTTAGAAATCACATTCTACATATGAAATACATAGAAGTTTTATGACCTAATGCCTAATGCGCGATGTGATTTCTACTAGTTGTAACTAAAAATAGAAAATAAAAATTTTAATTTTATTTCTATTAGTAAAAAAATTATTGATCTTAATAAAAATTGATTAGAAATATATTTAATTATTGTTACAAGAAAAGGAAAAATAAAAAGGAAACGGTGTATAAAATTCGAAGGCAGAGCATTTCTTCCAATCTTCCCTCCTCATACTCTTCCTTCAAATAATATCTGCCTCTCAACGCCATACTATTTCTCCCCCCCTTCTCTCTCTCTGAACCATTCGATTTTCGTCCATTCTTTCTCCGCCACCGTCTCTTACTTTCTCCGTCACTGTCACCGTCGTCTCCCACAGCGGAACGACCGCGCACGTCATTGATTATGGACATGGTTTAAATGCAAGAAAAACTCCCCAAGTGTTGTTGGAACTGAGCCTGTCCTATCAATTTAAGCTCAATCGCATCGAAATGAAAGGTAATTGCTCTCCGATTTTGAAATTTTGTCGTCATTTATTTACGATTTTATCTCATTCCGGTTTCCGTTGTGCTCTAGGTTCACGAAAAATGCCGAAGAGTTTAATGAAGGGAGAAAGCTCAAAGAAACCTCATAAAAACCTAGAAAAGAAATCGGATGAAAGCTTGAAAAACAAACGCGATCGTGGTAATGAAAGCGACGATCAATCGTCTCCAAGAGGCGTGTTTGAAGTTCCTGGATCCGGTTCTGATTCCGATAACAGTATCAACCTAAGAAGGAGCATGAGTGCGAGCGCGAGCACCTGCAGCTTGAAATTTGATAAGAAACCTCCGGCAGTGGCGACGACGGGAGGATGCGACGGAGATGGAGATAGGGAAAACAGCAGCACCAGCGTTCCGGCGTCGCCAACGGCGGAGACGGTGCCATGGAGGAATATGATGGATAATTTGAAGTGGAAATCGTTCAGAAGGTTTTCGACTGGGCCGTTGGTGGCTGGATATGAACATTCAAGGAAGAGCTTCATGAAGAAATTTGGGAGGAATAATAGCTCGGAGGCGACCATTAACGAGTTTTATATGCCTAAACCTTCATGGCGGAGTTTCACTTATGAAGAACTTGAGTCGGCTACAAATGGTTTCAGCCATGGTAACACTTTCTTACTCTTCTCCTCTTGAATTTTTTATGCCAACAAGATAATTAAACTTGAACAACGATTATAGAATTAGATAATTAATATATCTAACATGTAACTTTAAAAAAAACATTAAAATAATATTCGTCAAATTTAATATAATGGAAAATGAACTAGACTTCTTATCCTCAAAGGCACCCCTAACTTAATCTGCATCAGGATTTTGTAAATTCTAACTTTATGAGAATATTAACTTTTAGCAACATATATCAATCAATATTTGGGTTTTGTTTTTACTGTTATTATCATTTTTCTGTTGAAAAAAGAATATTTTTTATAAACTGAGGAAAATACTTGTTTAAATGACTTTGACTTTCTTAATTTACCATAAATTGTCTAGAGTTTGTAGATGTTTTAAATATAGATTTTCAACTCCTTTAAAAGCTTATTCTAAGTAACATGAGATATAGCCAAAAAAAAAAAAAAAGAAGCTTTTAATATAATCATGAAAGTTACTTTCATTTAATTGCAAACCACAATAGGATTATTGCTATTTTTAGATTGCCAATTTCATACACGTCTTTATAATAGTTATACATAGATAAAAATTGTACGTAAGGTTCTAATTTAAGCATGAGAGTTATTTTTTGCTTTAAGAATATTATAATTTATTTTTTCATGTAACCGGTTAGAAGGAGCATTTTTGCATAAAAAAAGATGTAAAAGGTGATTTATCTCTAACCCATTACATATTAGTATTTTATTCCAAACAAATATTTTAAGTATATTCTATTTTCCAACTTATACAAATTTTCATATCCTATATATAAGTTTTTTTTTTCTTTACAAATTTATCTTACATCCTTTTATTATAACTTTCTAGTTTGTATTATTAAACAAACACAACCAACTAAATTTTGCCTTACTTAATATGTCTTGCATCTTTTTCGTTATAATAATTTTGTTCTATCTTTTTTGTTACAATAACTTCAATATATTAAAAAGCATTTATATTTCTGAATAACTTTGAAACAGTATGATCGATACAACTATACAATTATATTTACTAAAACTATACAAACTCAAACTTAAAACAATTAAAAGAAACTAAAAATGGATAATAATAAACTCATACGTTGAACAACCAATATTCCATACATTAAACTTTTACACCAAAATGATAACCAATAATGAAAATAAAAAAAAATAAATAAATTTTGTAGGACAAAAGAAACCCCTGACAGTTGAACCAGTGTAAGAGCATATGTTGTAATCAAATCTAGGTGCAATGTCTACTTCACTCACAAACTAGTTGCAATTTCCCTTTTACTCAATAATAATAACTACTTCTTATCTTATCCTATTCAGACAAATTTTTTTAAACTAAAACAAACCCAAAACCAATTATATATAAATTATTGGATTAATATAGTTATTTACTGTTGATTGTGTAAAATGTAACGACTTTTTTTATGTCGGAATATATTTGATTGCTATTTTTAGTTTTTTACACAAAAACCAGGTTTAGGTTTTAGGCAAAACCTGATCCCCGACACTTTATGCTTGAACCATAATATATAAATTATTGGATTAATTATTAAATTCTATAATTACAAAAAGACAGAAAATTAAATAGCTCGTGTCATACAAAGGCAGTGCACCTGGACCAATAAAAGAGCCCAAAAGCACACAAAAGAGTTGAGTTATTTATTGGTAAAAAAATGTAGTTCAATTGGACTTGACTTATGGAGACATCTTCTGTGATGAGAATACTCCAAAAACCCCACATGCTCTTTTCATTAATCATCTTCAATCTCATCACATAAATGTACTACATACCCTAGATGGCTAGATCCACCATGTGATCATGTTCCATTAATCATCTTCCAACAATATAATAAAGTTACATCTAAGTCCCTAAACTTACACACAACAACAAAAACACTCCTTCATACGACTGCCCCTTCACACCCGCCAC